AATTGCTCCGCTGCTGTTCAGAGTTGTACATAATGTTTTTCGGCGTGTGCACCGAGTACGCGCGCCCCGTGTTATCGCTCATCGTGCGCCAGGTCCTGGCAGAGCCCCCTGTTTGTGGGAAATCTTTCATTGCAAATAAAATGGTTTTAATTCCTCACGAGTGACGCATGAGACCCCTATGTCCGCGTCTGACGCAGTACCTGCTGAGTGCGAGTGAATGGTTCTGCCTGGGAAGCTTCTTCGATGCCTCTCTACACAGGAGCGTGCATCAATGTACACGGTTTTATGTGCTTTGGCTCGCTGGGTGACGGGGTCTCGTATTCCAGGTGTCCCCTTCCTAAGACGCTGCATAATAGTACCTGCGGGGGGTAAATAATACTCCCTCCTCCCCCGACTTCCTCCCGAGGTGCCTAGGTGAGGGTGACGTCATCCTCCTTCCAGTCACATCTACATAATACTCTCCTTCCCGACTTCCTCCCGGGGTGCCTAGGTGAGGGTGACCGTCATCCTCCTTCCAGTCACATCTACATAATACTCTCCTCCCCCGACTTCCTCCCGGGGTGCCTAGGTGAGGGTGACGTCATCCTCCTTCCAGTCACATCTACATAATACTCTCCTCCCCCGACTTCCTCCCGGTGTGCCTAGGTGAGGGTGACGTCATCCTCCTTGCTCCATCTACATAATACTCTCCTCCCCCGACTTCCTCCCGGGGTGCCTAGGTGAGGGTGACGTCATCCTCCTTCCAGTCACATCTACATAATACACTCCTCCCGGGGTGCCTAGGTGAGGGTGACATCATCCTCCTTCCAGTCACATCTACATAATACTCTCCTCCCCCGACTTCCTCCCGGGGTGCCTAGGTGAGGGTGACGTCATCCTCCTTCCAGTCACATCTACATAATACACTCCTCCCGGGGTGCCTAGGTGAGGGTGACATCATCCTCCTTCCAGTCACATCTACATAATACTCTCCTCCCCCGACTTCCTCCCGGGGTGCCTAGGTGAGGGTGACGTCATCCTCCTTCCAGTCACATCTACATAATACACTCCTCCCGGGGTGCCTAGGTGAGGGTGACATCATCCTCCTTCCAGTCACATCTACATAATACTCTCCTCCCCCGACTTCCTCCCGGGGTGCCTAGGTGAGGGTGACGTCATCCTCCTTCCAGTCACATCTACATAATACACTCCTCCCGGGGTGCCTAGGTGAGGGTGACATCATCCTCCTTCCAGTCACATCTACATAATACTCTCCTCCCCCGACTTCCTCCCGGGGTGCCTAGGTGAGGGTGACCTCATCCCCCTTCCAGTCACATCTACATAATACTCCTCCCCCGACTTCCTCCCGGGGTGCCTAGGTGAGGGTGATGTCATCCTCCTTCCAGTCACATCTACATAATACACTCCTCCTCCCCCGACTTCGTCCCGGGGTGCCTAGGTGAGGGTGACGTCATCCTCCTTCCAGTCACATCTACATAATACACTCCTCCTCCCCCGACTTCCTCCCGGGGTGCCTAGGTGAGGGTGACGTCATCCTCCTTGCCCCATCTGCATAATACTCTCCTCCCCCGACTTCCTCCCGGGGTGCCTAAGGGCGGGTGACATCATCCTCCTTCCAGTCACATCTACATAATACTCTCCTCCCCCGACTTCCTCCCGGGGTTGCCTAGTTGAGGGTGACATCATCCTGCTTCCAGTCACATCTACATAATACTCTCCTCCCCCGACTTCCTCCCGGGGTGCCTAGGTGAGGGTGACATCATCCTGCTTCCAGTCACATCTAGATTGGGGGGGGCACCACGGAGAGAAGTATTGCCCCCGGGTCCTGTAATGCAGCATGGGGGGGTGGG